TTCACGAACTATTCATCAACTTCGGTAAAGTTATTACACCTTTACGATACGACTCAAGAGAACGCAACGCGCGCGAAAACGTTTCTTTGAAAAGAGGAAGATTCACGCTTGTTTGCAGCAAACACGCGCGAGCGATCCTTATCAATGCAGGGTACAAAAGTAATCCGTGCGCGATTGTTATCGGGGAGATGCAGCTTCCAAAAATCGAAATGCCAAGCTGATGGATGGATGATGACAGGCTGAGTAATCATTAATGTCAGATAATATTATTGTTGAGGGAGATACCTATTAATTCACGGTATATTGTAAACAATTAAAATATGTAGATAAAATAGAGAAGTATCAAGAGAGTGGTTCATAAAAGGAATCTAAAAGCAGAATTTACAAACATTGCTCAAGCTTCAAGATGGTTTTAAGCCAGTGCTGAAGATGTCATAAATCAATCAGAGAGCCGTATTAACATCTTAAGACATTACTTGAAACTGAGGTCTTAAAATAAAACGAACTATGAATATCGACCTATAGTAAGTTCAAATCCCAGCAGTGCCAAAAATGCCTTGATGTTATATATATATAGATATATATATATATATGTGTGTGTGTGTGTGTGTGTGTGTGTCACAGTCAAAGCGTTAATTCAATAAAGCTCGATCTAAAATACAGAATGCGGGTCGCAGGACTATAAACTATCCTAATTTTAATTATAATAGGACGCAAAACGCAGGACGCAGGAAGTTGGATGAACTTCAACTGTAGCATCCTGCATCCTGCGATCTACGACTTATTATAATATAGGTATTATAAAATACGTACGTTTCACTTGCGACCTGCGTTCTGTGTGCTATGTAAATCGGGCTTAAACGTTTTCTGTAATCAGTTATAATTAACATATACATTTAGTATGTATAAATGTATACATTGACTAATAAGCAGGATTGGGAAGTAACTAGTTACTTGTAACTAAGTTACACACAGTTACAGTTATTTTTTTTCAGTAAATATTATATTTTTGAAGCATTTGATTGATCAATCGAAAGAAAGAATTTTACAAACTGACTAATCAAAAAATACTTCGAAGCATTCGTAGCATCAAGTGAACCGTAGTTAATTATTATTAAGATTTTAACCAATCATGTTAAATTGACAAATAAGTTTAAAATGTAAAGTAACTGTAAAAGTAACTGTTAAATTAGTTATTAGTTATTGGAAGAAATATAACTAAGTTAAGTTACAGTTATAGATGGAAAAAAGGAACTAAGTTAAGTCACAGTTACTGATAAAAAGTAATTGTAACTGTAACTTAGTTACAAGTAACTAGTTACTTCCCAATCCTGCTTATTAGTCAATGTCATTTGTAGCGCTAAGGATGCGTTCCCTAGTATATACATTTACTAAAATTAATGCGTTTCCACTTAACATCCGCAACGCTCGCGTGTATTATTTCATTGTTTAATATCTGTAACAACAAGGATAAAATGATACGAGCGTTGTAGGTGTAAGTGGAACACACCCTGTGTTTTGGAACGCAGCCCAGAGAGAGTATTTTATTATTTTGTCCGTTATTTGAATTATTTCGCGTCTATTCCCGCGAAATTAAAGGAATTTTTAAATAAAATTGTATTGTAAACGTAAATTATTATTTTCTTTAATAGCCCTAATAATATCGATGTCACTCATATTGTTCTGTCATGATAAGAAAAGTAACTAAAAAGTAACTGAAAAGTTACTTTCTTAGTAACTGTAATTGTAACGAGTTAATTTTTAATCTCGGTAACTTGAAACTGTAACTAGTTACTTTTTAAAGAAAAAAACTGTAACTGTAACTAGTTATTTTTACAAAGTAACTTTCCCAACCCTGCTAATAAGTATATACTAGGGCTCTAATTTTATCCGTTTATATTCGCTTTCAAAAAAACGTTTATTTGAAGGTAAACGTTTACACGTTTAATTAGTATATCCGTTTATAAAAGAAACATTTTTCCGAATATACGTGTTTTATTATACATTTAAACGAAAATATATTTACATGTATGTTTAACAAATCCATCTATGAAAAATATCTTTTCGAATATTTTAACGTTTTTTAATAATCGAATTTTTTAATAAAATTAAAAATCGAATTTTTTGCATTTTCTCAATTCGTCACACTTCTTAATAAAGGGATAAACGTTTATATAAAAAAAGTGAAAATATTCGGAAAAACGATTCTAATAAACGAATATACTAATTATACGTGTAAACGTTTTTTCGTTTAAACGTATAATAGCGAGCCTTAGTATATACATTTACTAAAATTAACACTTTGACTGTGATAATTCAGATATTTCGTCTTTATCTGGTGATGGAGAAGCGATTGAAAAAAAGTAGCAGGAAAAATTATTACGTTCGATGAGGAAGATGGGCGCAGCATTTCCTGCTCGGATCGATAAAAGATTATGACATAAGGCTATATTGTACGTACAATTTAAATTCGTGTACCCGAGAAAAAATGTTATATAAATGGACATATTTTTTATATAATTATATATAATTTTATATAATTATATATAAAACATTTTTTTCTTGACTAACATTAAAAATATTACATTCGCATTTTTCTTATTTCAATATATATTTATTTAGATATTATTTTAGACGTTATATTGATATTATTTCTATTTCAATATGTTAATTTCTAACAGATGCAACAATAATCTTTTTTTATATATAAAGATAAAATTTATTATTTTATTTTTTGTGCAAAACTGCCAACTAAATTTCTAAATCAAGTTTTTCTTTCGAAGTTAATTTAATTTAGTCCAATATTAAGCGTTTCCGTAATTAAGCCTTCCCTAAAATATGCACTAAGAAGAAATCAACTTCGCAAGGTCGTTGAAAAATTTACACAGGCCGATGTTACGAGGGAAAGGCGCAAAACCTTTGGAACACTTGGTGCAACAATTCGGTGCAATACTTTCGAATAATCGTACGCGCTTGATCGAACAGGTATTGTACCTGGTCGCCTTCGACAGCGCGAGGAGAAAAAGCGAGGGAGAAAAAAAGGCGGGCCTGGAAAGAGCTGGAACAGAAGGACACCTCGCGAAAGCGTGATATCAAGTCAGTGAAGCCGGCACGGTTTGTTTATTTATTCGGTATTTCCTCGTTGTGCAACAATTCTAATCGCTAATTATTGTCGACGATAATTATCGTGAACGAGCGGGAAAAAAACAGCAGTAACTACATCAACGTCATCGTTTCGCACGTCAACGCGATGAACGAACGATCGTCCTTCGTGCGAAAGTTTCATTCGTATAATATGAATAGAAACTTTCCATTCTCGTGATCGGTTCATGATCGAATCATCGTGCGATCGCGAAATCGTCACAAGTATATCGAGTGTGCAATAGTCGAGAGCTTATTATTATCCCTGTCCTGCATAATCGTCGCTATAAAAAGAAATGCCACGAAGCATGCTCTGCAACGAGAGATATTAGGTCTATTCGCACTGCTTGTACTTTTTGCACTCAGCATCTTCGCTTTCTCTCTCTCTTCAACGTCCGAATATACATTTATCTTCTTTTAATGCAAAAATTTTCGAGCAACGCGAATCTTTTGCAACAATAATTATGTCTTTTCTTTATATAAGGATAAAATTTATTTTATTTTTTGTGCTTCAATGTGCAAAACTGCCAACTAAATTTTTCTAAAGAAAGTTTTTTTTCTAAGTTAATTTAATTTAGTCCAACATTAAGAGTAATTGAACCTTCCTTAAAATATGCGCAAAAGAGGAATCAACTTCGTAATTGCTGCTCTAGCCGTTGAATTTGTGTATAAACGCTCGCGCGTTGTTTCTAAATGTATTCGTAAAAATATTCCATTAAAATAACTCATTTTCAAGTAATATTCTATTTAGTATTATTAGCATTATCATCTTTTGTATTATGCATGCCCATAGATAAACCTACATGAAGTAGAAAAATATACATACACTGTCATTATCACAAACTATAAAATGACGGAAGCATTCCGATTTTTTTTTACAAAAAAGAAAGAATTGAACGTGACAAATTACAAGAAAAACTTGATCTGTTTTTTGTACACAAATCTATCCTTTTTCATGTAAATTTAATGTCATACGAGCGTGTAGAATTTTAAGTTGTTTTTTACGTACAAATGTAAACGTTTTCTTATATAACTCATTAAAATTATCTTAAAAGAAACGACATTCGAACTAACTTGAACTACGCAATTTTATAACAAATTATTCTTGACATAAACGCTAAAAAAAAATTGCGTAATTTTTAAAGACATAAAGCAGCAAAGTCTTATTTTGAAAAACTTGCATTTGTTTATCAATACTGAACGTTTTTCCGGATATTTTTCTAAATCATACCTTTCGGGAGGAAAAATAACTATATTATTTAATAAAATTTTACAATTCTAAATTATTTAATAAAATATATTATTTAAAATTAACATTTCTAGCGTTATTTCAATTATGTCAAGGTTTCATTCTGCTGCTTTTACTTTTGAAAAAAGAGAGAGAAACGTGTTTATTATTTTCGGATGATATTTTTCTAACAAATCATGCTTTTAAAAATTAACTGTTATCTAAAATTTAGATTTCTAGTTCCGTTTATCCGTTTCACTCCGCTGTTTTTACCATCGAGAACAAAGAGAGAAACGTGTTTACAGTTATATATTAAGATGTTCTATTTTGCACAAAATGATTTCGAAGATAACGACTAACATGACAACAAAAAGCTGGTAAAGAAATAGAAAAATTTATCGCGCAAATCATTAAGGGAATAGATATCCTCTCCCGAGAGAAACCGAAGAGAATATTCTGTGTCTGATAAGTTATATATGTATCAAAAATCGTTACAGGAATATCAACACATGACAATTTGAATTTCTTTTTGATCGGTGTGTAAACACACACACGCGGACATCTATCTACGCATTTATAAAATCGATTCCTAATGTATTCCAATGTATTCACATTCGTGTCATCCACTCACCGTGCTCGATGTAAATCCCAAATTGTCGTGCGACATCCTGAGGGATGTATTTGCTTAGTTGTACAATGTCAAATCACCGATAGATCCTTGCATGCGATAAGCGCGCAACGGCAATAGTAACCAAGTATCGAGTGATGAGGAGCGAAAGAGAGGGGTTGGTTAGACGGAGGGTATAGACGAGCGCAGACGAGCGATAGAAGACAGAAGGCGCGACGGGGTCGAGACGATTTAATCTCTGAAGGTCCGTTGCATTGTGCGTCGCGACAGGTACGGCCGCTGCAAGTCGACTGGTTTCACTTAGCGCGAAGTATTATTTATATAGCGTCGCTCGTGCGGCGTGTGTGCGACTCGGGCTCGCGGTACCGTTTCGTATCCGTATCATTTCGGCGCACCGATGTGTTGAGGGGCGAGGGAAATTCCTGGCGCGTGGTGCGTACTGTGTTCGTCGCTCATTCAACTGGTCCGATTGACGGCAACGGCGCCGGCTCGTGTGAACACGTGTCGCACCTTGAGGTAGCGTAACCCCGCGTGTCGCACGTCGATCAACACCTAAGGACTTTGAAGCACGGTGCTGTCCTGCCGTCGAATGTACATTCGAAGGCGAGCGTTCAAGTCACCGAGTCGAGCGGCGGTGCTACCGAATGGCGCGGGCGGTACCCACTTGCGTTCGCGTTTCTGTGTGCGTGAGAGGGTAAATACTTATCTTGTACCGAGCAAGAGTGCGTTTTTTTTTTCAATGTACACATAAGTAGGATAAAAGGACAAGTACGCGCGATACTTTCGCGCACTGGTTTAATAAATCTGATTAATGGGGCATTAACGTTTCCGTATTTTTTTTTAGTCTTCCATTTTGAAAAAAAGCAGAAAAAAAATTAAGTAATTTCAACCAGATTAGGATTTATCAAGTTATTACAAGGATATTATGCGCATTTATTCCGTAATGATTAGTCTCGCTTGTTTTGCGTTTGTACAAAAAAAATTTTGAAGGATTTGCTTGAAGCAATGTAAAAATGCAGAAATATTTTAATGGTACTTTAGATATATCTAATATAAAATGTAATATTTAAATCTTGATTAAAGATTAATTATTTTATGATTACTGATTAGCGATTATTATATGTATATTAATTTTTCTTTAGTTTATTATCGATGAATGATACTTGAAATTTCAAAGACTTAATAAGTATTTTCATCGCAATGATAAAAATTAATTTATGTTATTTCAAGATATATATTGATAATTCCTTTGCTAGACTGAATGTCTGGACTTTTATCGAAGTATTTGATAAACATCGCGATTAACCATGATTGGTTAATCTTTATTTTGATCAGAAGATTATGTAAGGTCTGTATTCACACTTTATTTTTTTATCGATAAATGTGTGCATTTATTTCTGAGAATATATATGTAATTTAAATTATGTGCGGTAAATATAGTTATTTATTTATCGTATTTATTTATCAATAAAAGCGAGGTGTTAATACGGACCTACATCAAAGTTTGTTAAAGAAATTACATTTTGCTTTACTAAACTTATTTTACAGCACATATATTCTATTCTGCGAATAAATAATCGATTTAATGTTTCCTTCGTTTTACGTCCGGCACATATATTTAAGTGTTATCCGAGTTAGGTAACAATCATCAATCTACTCGTTGACGTAGCTTCGCTTTTATGACAGAAGATGAATATCTGCATTCATCCTCGTACTTAAATTCTTCAAAAAGATACATTCTCCATTATACATTTTCAAATTAACAGGAAAATGGAAAGGGATGTGAAATATATTTTATGAAAAACCAAAAGTGTATTAAATACAAAATTTGCATGCATATCGCACGTGTGTATCAATTAATCTTAGTGTTGTAATCTCAAGATGAAGATATTTTATAGCGATTACCGTTCGCGAAGAATACATTCTCTTTCGACAGTAACAATAAATCACAAAATGACATTAATTATAGTTTCAAGAATCGATATAATCTAATTTTTATATCTAAGCTGACATCATTTAACGATGATGAAAGATACATATTGACTAAAATTTTCATTTATACGCTTCACGTGCAACAGTTTCTTTACTTAAAATTTATTACAACTTTGTCTCGCGAGTTACGAGATGTTCTCGGAACACAATTTTCTCTTTCATTTTTCTTTGTTTTTAAATAAAAGAAAAATTGTAGAAACGATAAAGGATTTTTAATTGAATCACCGATACATCATATTGTGTCATTCTGTCGGCTTGGCATTCCGAATCAAGATATCAAATCTTGAAGAAAACATGCATGCTCGTTTGACTAAAACGTGACTGGAATGGAATAATAGCCATTAAACTTATTTTTTCTTTGTGATTTTTTTGCTCGCGCAAGCATACTTGAAAAAAGAGAACGAGAACGGTATTCTTTCTGTAAATATTTATGTATTTTATTCGATAAACCGAGGAGAAGAATTTATTCGTTGAAATGATAATCTCTAGTGAAAGCCGATATTTCATTATCTCGACGACTTATTTCGCGTTGCACCGCACTGCAGTGACAGAAATGAATGGTGAATAATTCCTAGTATCGTGCAGATAAAAATAAAACGTGCGGGAAAGTACCTTCGGGAAGCGCAGTCTTTCTGTGTCTTTCCTGAAGCGTAGACACGTCGTGCATAAGTTATGCGTTACACTGAACACTTCCTCCGTTTTTGGAATGAATGAATGAATCCATTAACGTTACGGAGTGTTTCGAGACAAGTGTTTGCGCAGACATTGAAAAATCAAATAATTTATATTTTTCGATTTAAATTAAGCGGCGGCGAAACAATTAACGCTTTCGATATAAAGCGTCAACGCGGCTGCACCTGGAAACGACTTCGTTTTGAGAACATGACACTGCACGACCATGAATTTCGCGTGGGAGTAGCGTGAGGTTAATGAATTTGATTGAATCACGGCCGTCTTTAGTCCTCGCGGTTCACCTTCCAGCCCCAGCATTGTCCAAAAGTGCGAATAATAGTCGCGATAATCGAGAATCGCATGTCACTTACCGGAACGCTGTGCATTGTTAAATGCGCTTTTCACTCGACCTGAATTAGACATCGCGGAATAAATACGGCAATTCGCGGCGTATATACTATTGATAAAAGAATTTATATGAAATGTTTTGTATTCGTGATACATAAATCTCCTAAATCAGTTGGTTACGCAAGCACGCAAGTTATATATTTTCAGGAGGCGATAAAAAGGTTTATGTGATCAAATTAAATTAGAAATTTGCGAATTTATTTTAAGGAAAAGAATAAAGAGATAGGTGTTATATTCACTATCTATTATATTTGAGATGTAGGAAATTAATTTGTAATTTGAAATTATTAAAAATATAATTCTTTGTGTATATACTGTTATAGATCGAAAAATTTCGAGTTTTGCCACAACTCCCTTGTAATGAAGCAATCTACTAGTTTTTTTCAGGATATTCTACAGATTGAACATAGACGTAGAAAAATTATTACAAAATGGTAACAACACAAATACCGTCAATTTCTATGCGAAAATTAGAACTCTACGTTTATGTAGAATCATTTTGTAATGGCATTTTTCTAATAATCTATTTTAAGTTCATTCTGTAAAGCAATGTTCTGAAGAAAATCAGATCAGAAAATAGATTAGCGGATTACTTGTTTAAAAGTCATTAAATCTCACGGCAAAACTTAAAATTTTCGGGCCTGTCTTCAATGACAAAGACTTTTATAATTTTTGTATTACAAACTAATTTTCTACATCTAAAATATTCGAAGCAAACTATCATCTAAATGCAGAAATGTATCCATTTATTCCTTTCTCTGAAATAAATTGGCAAATTCTGCCTCCAATTTAATTGATTAAATATAAACTCTATTACCCCCTTCAGAGAGCTTAATAGGTATATCTTTGTTTGTAAAATTCGGGCGAGTGGGTTTCTTCTGTATTAACATCTGAGTAATAAATTGTTGCAAACGAGATTTGCACAATCCGGTCATAATTTTATTATACAATCATTCACACTTGCGAGCGCAAGAAGTAATTAAAGTTCAAAGAAAAAATACGCGGTTAATAAAATAATTACCGACATTAATCTCACGGCGTGTGATTTATAATAGAATATGTCATGGTCAACATGCACGCACGTCTCTTACGTGAATGGTGTACTTAAAAAGAAGATATCAGCTATTTTTCTGCAATGTCAATGCGTGTAAGATAAAGTTAAAAATTGAGGACATTTATTTGCGTCTATTATAATGCATCGTAAGCTGCGTATTTATGAAGAGAAATTATTAACATACAATTATAGTTGTGTATGTATATATATATATGTGTGTGTAATCGGATATTTAAAGGTCAATGTGCAATGACAAAAATCAACGTCGCTTTAGGAATAAAAGGGTTGTTTAGATATTGAAAGTTCTAACGATTTTTGGCACACGTTTAATAGCTTAAGATGTTAGAGTGAATTAACATAAAAAATCTAGAATTTATGTTGAAATATAAAAATCTTTATATATCTCAAGACAAGAGAAGACAGAAGATATTAAAAGAAAGAAAAATGGATATAAAACTTGATGCAATTGAAGTCCATTGCAAAATAACATAAGAGCATATTTTTTCGCGATTATGCATACATGGATCATGTGCCTGTATATATGTGTATATATATTATATATATACACATACATATACATACATATGCACATATGTTATTTACAATTTTAAATTTACATAATCTCGTGTTATGGAAGCGTCGCATATACATACGCTAACCACTTATGCTCGTTAATCTATGTTTACAAAGATCGGACGCAATATCGCAATGAATATATTTTATATATTTTACAAAATAATAAAGATCTCAACAATATAGAGCGATGGAATATTATCCCAATTGGATGGCAAAAATTGAAGGCATTGAACATGAAAGTAGGGTCAATCGTTTCTATTGCAACATTTATTTCCATACTGTACAAACTGCTCCTTAACAGTTAGTCTTTATTCATAAGTTATTTCAATTATTACATACTGTATAAATGCAACATTGTAAAGATAAGAAAGTGTAATAATTTACAGAAGTTTTTTTGGAAGATATTGATGTAATTCAATAAGATAGCTAAAAGTGGTAAGTAAATTATCTTAAGGGATAACTAAATACTCTCACAATTTCTGTATTTATTGCACGTCAGTGCCATACCAGACTTAAATCCTATATAGAAACATCAATCTACTTTTATTCCAGTGTCTTCAATTCTTGGCAATAATTTCTTTCCCTCCCCTTTTTCTCACAGTTTCTTTACGAAACTTCGCTTCACATATATAGAAATGTACATGTGTGTGTTTATGTACTGTGTGTTATGCATGTGTGTGTTTTTATGCATGTATGTAATATGTGTATGTATATATATATATATATGTATATTTCTTAAGTATTTAACAAATTTATCTAGATTACACGTGTAGTTTAGGTAAGATCTTTTTCGAAAATATTTAATCAGTTTGCAGATACGCTATAGTCGCTACATATCTGTATTTTATGTATAGCGGACACAATCAAAGTATTCTTCTGCTCAGTATATGTTCAACATAACTGCAATGTATGATAGGAATCAATAATTGCAAAACATAGACACTTGATCAATATTATGTCAAGAGCCTAAAGATTTCTTCTCCAATTGCCGACAGTAATGAGTTATTGTCACCTTTACCTTCGATTACTAGATTTTCTGTCGCTCTCTGCAACAAAAAGCCATAAAATAATTTAATATACATTGCTAATCTTAGAAAGTTAACATTTTCATGCAAATTTCAACTAAATCAATGCAAACATAGTACTTATAGGAGATATTGAAGTATATATTTTTGCCTTATATTATGTTAATTAATATTCTAACTTTGGCCATCAAAAAATTATTTACTGTAGAGCAGAGCGATAATTTAACTTACATTATATTTTAATAAAAGGCACACATGATGTCCCTTCAGAGAATGACCGTATAAAGATGCAGTATCGTCAATTTGCTCCACGAGTGTGAGATTACATTTGCGGCAAATAATATTCAGAACCGTGTCAAAGTCCTGAGAAGGCATTACTTCTCTTCTAATCTTAGATACTAGTTGACCACTTTTGAGAAGTTCCGTGAGTATGTCCTTGTGAGAGAGATGCCCGACCATGAACTTGCTACATGACAAGGGCACGGTGAAATCGAGTTTTTCTTGTTGCGTTCCTTCTTTACTTTCAAACATGTACGTCAATGTACCCCTAAGTCTCTGAGCAAATGTCACGTCCGAGACTAGAACGGTGAACTCAGTTTCTTTACTAGATTGCAGAGGCAGTTGGAACGGCAGTTTTATTCCAAATTCATCTCCAGGCTAAAAGAACAAAATGACACATTACAAAATTATTTTTGTGAATTAAAGCGTAAATTCCAAATGTACATTAACTTACATTCCTAACTAATTTGAGTGACGATGTGTCTGGAACATCAAAGACTAATTCTTTTACTAGCGGCTGACCTATATTTGTAATGCAAATTGATACGATAACTTTACTTGAGTCGTCAGGGATCTGTCTCAGCTCATACCTCATGGAAAGGACCTTATTTTTGGCTAATTCTTCATAGGAGATATCTTGTTGTATTTTTTCAGTAATTGTGTTATATTCGATATTCATAATATCGTCCTTTATTTCCGGTAATATTTCTTTTGACGGAGTAGATATTCCAGCGGTTTCCTCATAATCCAATGACTTATTCTCCTTCTTATTTTTTGACTTTTTCGATTTTTTATGCTTTGCGTCTTCGTCGTTGGATTTTTTGTGTTTGTTTTGACTCTTCGACTTCTTGCGTTTATTATCTTTTTGTAATTCGCTGGATACCTCTATGTACTCTCCTACAGCAGAAGATTGCACTTTCTCCGGAGACGAATTAGTTTCTAACCACAAGTTAGGCTCCCTTTCGTTCATCACTTCGTTTTCCATGGCATTCTTAACTTTTTTTTTAGATTTTCTATGTCCCTATCAATTTAGAATGTATAAATTATCGAAAAATATTTTTAAAGACATGTAAATAAATTGAATAAATTCAAATTATAATATTTATTGATATAAAAAGAAATTTACCTTTTCCTTTTTATTTTCCTTTTCTTCAAGTTTTTTCGTTATTTTATTTTCAGTAACTCTATGTTCCAAGACAGGCAATCGTTCATCTTCTCGTAAAGGCATATCCAAATCGATATTTAAAGCTCTATGTGGATCATTTGAATCTACTAAATCATATTCATCACTATCACTTATTTCTGCACCCGGAGGTAGTTCACCAATTCCAGTATTTACTATTTGTAGTGGTAAACTATCATCCTTTTCATCCTCCTCCTCTGATGCAGATCTTTTATCTGAAAATATTCAACGTTAAGAATTTCAAAGGTTTAATAACATAATTAATGTAATATAAGATTTGTATACATAATAATTACTTTTATTTTTCTTTGACTTCTTCTTTTTTTCATGCTTTTTATGTCTTTTGTGACTGCTATCTATATCGCGACATCTGTGCGAGTTAGAAATCTTTAAAGAGATTGGGATGTCTAATTCCGTGACAGGAATGTTTTCAAAATCTTCATATGCGTTCGATGAATTGTGATATGATGTAGGAGTCTTAAATGAGCCTTTCAGATAATGAGGATTATTTTCTTGTTCTAGTTTTCTTGCTTCACGCCTCCTCTCGAGTTCTTCCAAGGATGGTTCATTCGAATCCCGTTTGGAAAATGAATTCGATTTCTCTGTCTTAATGAAAATATCATTCATGTCTAAATCCTCTGAATCTGAGCTCTCCGAAGGTGGATCATTTATCCAGGAATCCAAGTCTAAATTCTCAGGTATTGGAACCTGGAAGACATCATGAAATTTTTATGATAAAATATGTATAAATAATCTGCAGCACATATATATTAACTAATATGACATTTTATATTTTCTTACAATTTATATCAAAATAAAAAATATTTTTAAGTAAATGATACATGTATACAATACTACTAATTGATATTTACTTTTCTTTGAGCCTTTGGTGCAACTGGATTAAGTTCACCTTCAAATGTCTTGATTAATTCTTGCGCAAGACCAGAATTTTCTTTTAAACATTCTAATAATACTAATGCAGAACTTGATCTTTCCTGAACTTCCAAGTCGCCACTACAAACAAAAGCTGCTATTTTGTCTTTCAATCCGTAAATCTGTAAAGTGAAAGCTAATATTAGAACTAGAGATTTTATTTTAATTTCATACAAATATGTTTATTCTTAAAATATCACTAATTGCATGGTGCATATTTTGCTTGTTGCACGATAAAAATAATAAGATTTATTATTATTAAATAAAATATATATACAGCATAAATTATATATTTTATACCTTTTCCATAGTTTCAGTATCTTCCTCTTTTTCTGCTTTAGCAAATGTCGTTGCAGCTAGTTTTAATATATTATGAACGTAAACAGCCTGTATATGTCCTGGCAAACTAGAAGCTTGCGATCGCAACATAGACTGCAATGTTGCCAAAGGATTTTCCAATTCACTATTAATTTAACAGATCATTAAATGTTATTATATATTAATTAGATTAATACTTAATATGTATAAAATTCTTAATACCTAGAGAATTCTCCACAAATCCATGCTGCTGCATATAAAACTTCGGACATTGTTGCCCTTGGCTGGCCGGTTAAAAGATACGAATTCTCAAGCAATAAGGCACATTGTTGAACCGCGTATTTTCGGATAGCTTGTACACGAATTGCTACATCAAGTAATTGAGTTGCTACTAATGGTCCGTGCTTGGTGCCTTCCATTCGCGTAAGTTCCACTAATACAGATATGTACCTGTGCATATGTGAAGTTTGCTATAATTTATCCTAGATGACCCGGATAATAAGATTTATATGAAAATATATTATATTTACCACTCAAAGTAGGTAATGAAGTGATAGTTATTTTGTGAGCAAATTTGAATGATCTTTGAGAGTAATTCATCGCGATACATAGTGCCTTCGGCTTTATCCATATGTACCATTAATTTCTTAACTATTTCCATTAGGTTCTTCTTGGAAACCATTCCATACAACAAATCCAAGGCACGCAGTCTTATAGTTTCATCTTTGTCATCAAGACATTGCATAATTAGATCTTTATGAGATTGCACACTCTTCGGATGATTTCTCAATATTTTCGACATCGCCAACAATCCCAGATATTTCAAGTTTTGATCAGAGTCTTCTATTAATATTCTCAATTTTTGAACACACAACTGTATCGAATCAGAATGACTTGGCATACCAGATGAGATAGAAATCAATACAGCAATTACTGTATTGATACATTCGTACAGTAAAGACATTGCAGATGTACTAGAAATAAAATTACTACTAAAACAATCAATTATTATGTTATAAATTATACCAAGAAATAATTTATTCGTAAGGAAGAAAATAACAAGATATTATACAGTGTAAAATATTATGTATGTTACAAGATATAAATAAAAAATAAGGTAAACGTTAAAGAGCTAAACTAAAATATAAAACTAAGTAAGCAATGATAACATTACAAACGCGATAATTAATAGATACTTTCAAAATATATTAGAATACCTGTGTATCAAATTGGTAAGGGGTTCAATTAACTTTCTGCCAAGCCTAGGTTCTAGAGGTGTCAATGCTCCAAACTGAAAATAATATCATATTGCCTTCTAAGATGTACTTAATAATTTTTTTTGTACAGAGGAGTAGCTTAATTCTTATTTTATGAATAGATGAAATATGTATAATAGAAATATATGAAAAACAATATAAATGATTCTATTAAATAATAATATTATAATGGCTCAATAATAATAAATAAACATAAACCAATAATAAGAGCTATGAGCCAATAAATTTATTAGTTCGTAACCCTTATTATTGGTTTATGTTTATAAATGATTCTACGAAATACGTTCTGGGATACCGTTCTATACTACCAATAATATTATTGCAAGAAATAAACATTTGTATCTACAATTATTTAAAACAATGAATAATGTATAAAACCTTGAAATTAGATCAATTAATGGTTGAGTAAGTTGTCGACCCAGCTTTGGTTCGATCAGGATTATAGTTGAGAACTGAGTGTGAGAAATAAAATCAACATAACTTACAATAAAAAAAAAGATGTATATGTGCAAAATTTATAATTAATAATATTAAAAAATAGTTATGGATGTAAAGTTTTTTTTTAAAAGTGAAAGAAACATAAAGAAATACCATTTATCTCTTAAAAATCTAATACAACGGCAACACTCACCAATTTGATAATTTTAATGAGCATCCAATTGTTCGTAGAAGTTGTCATCAATTTAAAGAAAACAGGCGCTAAACTCAGGTAATTCTTTGGATTTTTTCTGGCCAATTCGCAAACTACATTTACCGCTGCACTTTGAACACCACTGTCTGGATCTTCAAGCTTTTCCTTCAACCTAGGGAAAGCAGGCCTCAGGGCCTCAGGGAACCGCAGAAATACTTTATACATCATTAAAACTGCCTTCTTGCGCAAGTATGGCTTTGTAGAAGTCAATAATGTCATTATATCATGAACCAAGTCACGTGCTAAATCTGAACTTATAAAGCAAGACAAACCGCTCAGTGCTAAACCAGCGTCATATTGATTTTGGCTATTTAAATCTTTACGAATCATATTTGTTGTTAGCATCAGTAGCTATAACAAAAAAATATTAATAAATTACGAGATGATTATTTTTCTATAAACTTAATAATTTAGTAATTTGCTAAGTTACATTTTAAATATTGTGTAGTATAGATATACGTAAATAAATATATATACAATTTTCCTTAATAATCTATTACATATTTTATTTGATGTATTTAATTTCGTATTTAAATTTATAGTAAAAGCAAGTAAACATATATAATTAAAATGTGTATACGGGATGATCTTTAGGAATACTAAAAGATTTTAAAACACGATTCTTTACATTAATTCAAGATGGAAACTTTATATTAACCTTATGTCGGAAACGGCTTAGTTTCAAAGATATAGAATATCAAAGTTGAAAGAAAAAATTCATTTTTTCCAAAACTGAAAACTATCTAAGTTATTTTTCATTAAACATATAAAATTCGATTTTCGATCAAATAAGGCAAATGGTTTTCAAAATTTTTGAAAAACACGAAATTTTAAAACATATTTATGATTCATTTTGTATCTTGTAATATTTGTTACATATCCTGTATGTAACAAATATTGTACATGTTACAGGTAAAGTCCACCATAGTGGATAGTGTCGGCATTGTCCAAGTTGCCTGCTGTATAATGTCAGCATTGTCCAGCCCACTTGTATTGGACAATGTTGATACAGCTTGGGCAATGCCGACACTGTCCACTTGTGGACTTTAGGTCTGTTTTCTGTGACTGAACTAGTGTACACTTTTGGAACTTAAAGTGAGATAGATGTATATTTGATACTTCGAAAACGAGAAAAAGAGTTCTAGTGCAGTCTAGTGTAGGAATAGAAAACAGGGTCTTTGTCCATACACACACACACACACATACACACATATATGTATAGAGAGAGAGAGAGAGATCAAGTATATATATATATATACACCTAGAAAATGTATATAAAATATTCATGCAAGTGGTCTCAATAAATAAAAATATATATAAGACATATATAGGATGAGTTATCAGTACATTTGATAAATTGTTTGATAAGTATATATTATTATACGACAATGGATTTTACCTCCGTTTCCGCATGAAAACTTTGACTGGCAGCAAGATAACCAATTCGCTTGTGAGTGAACTTTGTCGATGACATTACTTCTATTATGTTAAAGCCAGCCCAACTGATGTCATACCCCAACATTTGGAGCTGAAGATAGTAAGTATAAATTAAAATCAATAATGCTTGGAACAAATTGAACTGAACTGAATTAAATTAACTCGTGATAAATCGATTGTAAAAATTGTATCAAGTTGATCCCGGTATCTGTCAAAATTTACATATGTTAGAGACTTACATATGTCAACTTGGCCACGGCGTTGGCTTTGACTGCCACATTGTCTTGCCGCAACTCCTGCTTAATCTCCTCGATACATTGCGCAATGTATTTCGCCTGGTACAGAAAAGAGGAGTAAAGTATCCAAAGAACTGTTGCAAAAACAGATAGAGCGAGCAGGGGAAAACTAGGTTAGGTTTAGACTAAAGGATAAGACAGGAAATATATATCATGAAACACACACGGGAATCACCTCGTTTTCTTTATTGTTCCTGATTCCGCGCACCAGATCCGTCAAATTCTTGTCGAACATCCGCTCGAAGTTCCCCTTTACCTTGCGGAGTGCCATGGTCGCATTAAAAAAAAAAATATTAAATGCCGTATGCGCTCGCACTACACCGCTCAGGGAACTTCCTCGCGCATCGGCCGTACGTTTCGACTCGACCAGACGACACGTGGCCCTGATACCATTACAGTTAACCGTAAATCCGTATAAATTCCAGTCCTATATTCACATTTTTTGACAGACAGGTGGACGAGCAAGAGAGAGAGAGCGAGATACTAGGGAATCATACCTAAGTGAGAAATGTCAAGAGGGTAGACCGAGGGGCAGACAAACTGAGTTATCTGTATCTTCGTCCAATAGCTGTGTTTAGCAGAGAAAGCAGCTTTGCAACTGTGTAAAATTCCTTAATATGATTGGCCTTGCTCTTAGTTTCTCACTGAATCTAAATATATAAACCAATCATATTAACGAATTTTACAATAGTTGTAAAGCTGTTTTCTCTACTAAACGCAACCATTGGGTATGTATATACATATGTATTTATTATTTCTTATCATTTTAATACGTATATTTTAAATATACATTTTATGTATATATTTTTAAATGTATTTTTAAAAAATTAAAAATATTATACGAAAAAAACAATCGATTTAAGAAAAGTAATTCTAGCTATTTTTCAATTGTATATTAATATCTTTTCAAGATGCTTACATTATTAAATTGCTTGATTAATCAGTTCTTCTATTATAAAATAAAAAGAAGTAAAAATAAATTATTTGGAAGAGGTAAATATATTTAATAGTATCATGCATTAGGGCGCATTCATATTAGAGACGGAAAAGCAGAATGCAGAAAAAAAGAAAATCATTTATAGGGATTGTGCATAATGGAAGAAATATTAGGAATAGGAATAAATATTAATATTTCAACCTTAGAAATCGCCGGTTACACCAAAATATACGGTTTCTGATAGAATGAAATCTTAATATAATTGTTTGTTTCTATTCCTAATTACTGGTCCATTGTGCCAAAGCTTTTATATTATACTATTATATTGCAGTACAGTAGAAAAACTTTTATTTATAATATGTACACTATATATATGTGTGTGTGTGCGTGTATTATCATAGCAAAATTTAATTGTTGTCGGGAAAAGACTTAATTGTTTACATTAAAATTTTTTTAAAATTAAGTTAAATTATTGTTTTCTAAAATAAAAAGCTATTATCGATATAATATAATCCCAATTATGTATTTGTAGTTTAAATATGTGAATATAAATAAGTATTACATAATGATATAAAAAAAAATACTTTATCAGAGAACGTGCCGTATGTTGTAAAAACGTTCTCAGGACGTTTCTCAGACAAAGTGTACTATGGTTGCATTCGAGGAGCGCGCTATTAGCGCTATTGTGTCCTCTATCTTTGTTTTACGTTTAATAAACAATGAAGATAGAATGATACAAGTAGCACTAATAGTGCTCCCCGAATGCACCCTATATGTCCCGAGATCGTACATCTTTAGGACATAGGCCGGTATTCATAGTCAGATCTTAAGACTGTCTTAAGTTCAGCCTTGAGGTATCATGAACCAATCAGAGAGCCGCATTAGCGTCTTAAGACATTACTTAAAACGGTCTTGAAATAAGAACCGACTATGAATATCGGCCATAGAACGTCTTTAGAACATCTTTTGAACATCTTTTGGAAGTCTATGCCATATGGGATGGATACTTTACAAACATAATTGAGTTTAATATAATATAATATCGATATATCTAATAACTCGAGTTTTTAAAATTATGTGGAAAATGATGGACAATTTTTTATGAGATATATACCAATATATATATCAACCAATCAGATATGATTGTCGTGCTCCTCATATGACGCATGCGCATGAGTTCTGTGTTTCTTTCGGAGGCCATTTATTTCATAGCATCATAGGAGCTGTTCTTATCAGTTCTTATATAGATATAGGCGCGTATTGCATGCTAACTTCATTAGGCGACAGACATATATGTATGTATATACGTTTCGTCTCCGCTGTATTGTAGAGATGGTTTAGAAAGAGATGGCGAGTCGCTGACCAATTAATCGAAGTCTCCGATATAACCGATTTTTGCACTCACACGTATGTGCACTCTCACGCTCTCGGCTCTTCTTTTGTTTGTATTGACCCACCCACACTTTGGGACCTTCGGGTGTTCATCTCAGATTGCTCTCAACTTTCGCAGCCCCGCCGATCGCCGATCGGAGCGAGCTGAGACAAAGGCCGAGCGGAGTCGAGGACGGAATTCGGAGTGTCCGGAATCTCCACGAATCGACGGATCGATTATGGAGCGACGCGCATCGCGCCTCCATTCGATGCGAAGCCGTCGTGAGCGCGCAGCACTCTGAACAGCTCTGAAAAGAAAAGCCAAAAGCGCCGTTCAGCAGCAAGAGATTCGAAGACTGAAGAGATTGAGAGCAGTGCATCGCGTCCACTGGGCGTCACTGTCATAGTGCAGCATCGGGGGTGGCACGACGCATGAACGCGCCCCGCATCGAGAAGTTGAGAACCGCTCCGGTATTTGTATATTTAATTCCTTATCTCTCTCTCCCGGTACGCGCACGGAATTCGCGCGACGTAGGGAATGGAATGTCTCTCGCGGCGTCACATGTCGGTATCTTGTTTCGCATGGCTGCGCCCGGTTACGAGATCCGATCCCGCAGGACTCTCGTCATGAGATATATTAAATTGCCTCGTAGATTGCTCACCATGCCATGCGAAAGCGTTCGTCAACGTACTATGCGATGTTAATGTAACATATTGCAACGATGCCGTCTGTACTTTGTTTGCGTTATTGTTACTAGACGACGAAACTTCTGTTTTATCTTTTATACATGTATGGGCTCGTCAGAACTTAATATTTATAATTATAATTATATCTGATAATCGTTTGATTAAAATTATATTCTGCAAAGAAGAACGCCTTGTTTATTTTTTGTTGCATACTTTTTTTTTATCTTACAGGTAACTTGTCACAGGTGAACGTTTCATCCTCGACGGAACAATGACTTCGGATTACTTTACTTTACCAGTTAATATGGACAGAGTATGCAGGATCTGTCTTCAAGAGGGTACCAATTTGTCATCAATTTTCTCCTCTACACAAGAAGTGAACAATCTCACGGGTCTTTCTCAAAAAATACAAGTCTGTGGTTCCATCGAGATAGACGAGCAGGATGGATTACCTTCCCTGATATGTAACGACTGCATTTACAAGGCCAGCGTCGCCCATGAGTTCAGACAACAGTGTCAATACTCTGACGCAAGATTACGCATGTACTACAATAAGCCTGTCAAATCTATTAAGTCCACCATGGTAAAAACATCAAGTCTTCTCAAGTTATATTTGCCTACGTATGAAAATACATGATAGTTTATGTGATTTTTCAGGATTTGCAGGATTCTTATACACAGACAGATCTACAAACGAGATTTGTACAGTCAAAAAAGTCAGACCACTTTCAAGAGGATTATTTTAAGGAAGACATGCAAGTAGTTGCAAGTACACAAGAGTACATTCAAACCACTGATTCATTTCCCAGAGTCAATCTGAACACCAATCAAATTCAAATACCAGATGAAAAGTTATTCATCTGTTCTATCGGATTTGAAGGAAGTAAAGAAGAGGTGAAGGATTCTTGCATATCAGAGAGTGAGGTTCATCAAATGACAATAGTACAGGAAGATGCACAGGATACTAACATTATCAATTTACAAAACAAGGATGACGAAATTAAGGAAGCCGATCAGTATGCGGAAAAGAATAATACAGTCCAAGAGGAGCAATTCGTGAATGAAAGTTTATCCAATGATAATATAGAAGAAGAGGAAAACATCCTGCAGAAACGTACATCAGCGAGAAAAACAAAATCTGCTAAAACGTACAGCGACGACGAGGTCGTTGACAATTATTACGAACCGAGTAGTGACAGCCAAGATTCAGTGGAGTCAAAGTTTAAGTGTAAGATCTGTTCCAAACAATATGCAACACAGAAGGGTCTGAAGAAGCATGCGTTGGTCCACGAAAAGAAGTATAAGTGTGATATTTGTTTAAAAATGTTTTACAAGCAGGAAAACATGGAGAATCATCAGAAGATTCATGCATCGAAACCGCATGCGTGTCAGCTTTGTCATGCGTCCTTCTCAAAGTCTCAGAGTCTCGTGAGGCACTTGAAGTCACATACAGAGAAAGTAAACGATATGATTAAGCAGATCAACACAAGCGAGCGAAAGGATAATAAAGAACCGAAGAAAGAATTCAAGAGCGAAGATGATACCGACGACGAGACTGGACCTGCGAATGAAGCGGACGAATTCGAGAATGCGCCAGAGTTGTACAAATGTGAGATTTGCAATCAGTATTGCTCATCCTTGAAGAATCTAAGAAGACATGCTCTCGTGCATGGCGACAAGAAGTATTCTTGTACCGTATGTAAGAAATGGTTCTTCAGGCCAGATACGTTGAAGAAACACGCGGAGAAGCACGGGCACGGGCTGTTGGATAATTTGATGGATGATAATAAACTGTACGATTCGGATGATGACGATATGCCGAGCAACAACACGATGGATCCTCCGCCGGAGAGTGAAAACGTTAAGAAAGAGGAGAGCGACGAGGAAGGAACCGGAGAATACAAATGCCAACACTGCGACAAGGTCATGGCCACTAAGAAAGGTCTGCGACGGCACGTATCGATGCACAAGCCTAAGGCCGAGCCGGTTACTTGCGAGATTTGTAGGAAAGTCTGTGCAAGTCAGGCTCGTCTCGTTCTCCATCAGAGAACCCATAAACCGAAAGAGAAGGTACTGCGCGAGTACCTGTGTCACATCTGCAGTAAGGTGTATCCGAGCAATTCGTCCCTCACCTACCACATGCGAACTCACACCGGCATTAAGCCACATGTGTGCAAGACATGTAACAGCGGCTTTACGACCACGACAAGTCTGGCGAATCACATTCGTATTCACACGGGCGACAAGCCGTTTGTGTGTCACGTATGTAGCGCTGCATTCGCTGTGAGCTCGGCTTTTCGCAGACATTTAACCCGACATACGGGTGAGGCAAATTACTTATGTAAAACCTGCGGTAAGGCTTTCAAGAGGCTCAGCACGTTAAAGGAGCACACGTACACTCATTCTGGTGAGAAACCGTACGTATGCAAGACGTGCGGCGCCGCGTACAGCCACAGTGGCAGCCTCTTTGCACACCAGAAGCGTTGTCGCGCCCAATACGGCGAGATGATTGTTGATGATCACAATCATCATCACATACCGCATACAATCACTCATATCCACGTAAATATGAATAACGTCAATAACGGGCAAGCAGTGCGACCGGTCGCTATGATAGGTCAAATGTTCTAAAAACAAAGTGGTGTCACAGATTACAAGCGTTATCTGCGATGAGTGTTGTGTATAAGTTGTTGTGTGCAGCTGTAACTCCTATATACGAAATGCGTGTAACATAAGCTGCACGCCGTCTCTATAAATGTACATACAACTCATTTTTCACAATGAAAAATGTTCCTTGAATATACTCTGCGCTCGAAGATTCTAATTCTTTACTTTTAAAAACACGTAAATAAATATCTGTGGTGTAATAAAATAAAACGTACTCATGTTTATACGAGGGTAAAAGAGTTTTCAAAATGGAATAATTACTATTATTAAAATTGCGAACTATTTTTTTATTATTTGATATCATAGGTATGAATATTTGTGGATTTTACATGTTTCAACATTGTATATATATATATATATATACACATATATATTTTTGTATGTTCATATATCCAGATCTTGTTATACCACATATTACATGATAGTTGTTTGCGTGTTGTGTTATTTTAAAAGGGAATGATTTTTTTCGTATATATAGTTGAGTTTTATTTTTTCTCTCGTCAGTAGAATTATTTATCCGATATTATTTATCAAAGTTTTTTGAGAATTAAATCAATAAATGAATGAAGATAAAAGAGAATTCGAAGTCGATTCATTCTTAATGTTAATAAAAAAATATAGAAACGCATTAGTATCTGCAGACATTCGTAAACGTAATTATTAATTTTTTTGTTTTTAGAGTATATCTTAAAAAATTTGGTAATTTATGCAGAAATAATAGCGCTATAAATGTAATATCAGGTATACAATTTCTGGGCTGTAACTATCGTGTAAATGATAATCGAATGAAAGACATTGATACAATCTACTCATTTAATAAACTTAATTGGCATACCACTTTGATCAAAAAATTCCCGGAATTACCACCAGGTGATGCTCTAAGTCAGCTGATTTGAGTTCTGTTTTTTTGGTTAGGTTGCCACATCTATCATTGACATTTCCACCAAATTTTATCGCCACAGCTTGACATTTGTAAAAGTTACGCCGTCTTGAGTACATCTACCTCTGCACGTGTTTTCGATTTTTTACAATTTTAAAAATGGAGTTGAATTTGCAACGAGTTCGTATTAAATTTTGCGTTAAAAATGGATCCAATGGTGCGAAAACCTTGGAAATGTTGGGAAACTGTTTCAGCAGTGATGCTCTAAAGAAAACAACCGTTTACGAGTGGCATGAACGCTTCAGAAGTGGTCGTGAATCCGTCGAGGATGACGAACGCAGTGGCAGGCCGTCGACATCGAAAACCGACGATTACATCAATAAATTGAGAGAAATGTTGATCAATAACCGCAAATTAACTATCAGAGAGCTGGCAGAGGACTTAAACATTGCTTATGGATCCGTTCAGGACATTGTAGTTAATGATTTGGGTTTGCGCCGGTGTTGCTGCAAAGCTGGTCCCGAAGGAACTAAATTTCATGCATAAAAAGGGACTGCGTTGACATCGCCAAAGACATGATTTCCAAGGCTGAATCCGACCCAACATTCATCAAACGCATCATTACTGGAGACGAGACGTGGGTTTATGAGTATGACACCCAATCCAGACATCAAGCGAGTGAATGGAGAGCTCCAAATGAGCCAAGACCAAAAAAACCACGTCGTTTTCAGTCGAAAAAGAAAGTGATGCTCTCGGTTTTTATGGATTACAACGGTATTGTACAGCACGAATTTTTGCCAGAAGATCAGACAGTTAATAAAGAGTATTATTTGGGCGTTATGAGACGTTTGCGGCAATTCGCCAAAAAAGAAAGGATTTGTGGGCAAACAATTCATGGATTTTGCACCATGATAACGCACCGTCGCACAGTGCTATCATTATCCGTGAATTTTTGACCAAGAACAAAACAAATACCATCCAACAGCTATCGAATTCACCCGATATGGCTCCCTGCGATTTTTTTATGTTCGATCGAGTCAAAAAACCACTATGGGAAACGCGTTTTAACAGCCGAAAGGAGGTAATGGAAAAATCGAAGACGGCTCTGATGGCTATACCGACAATAGAGTTCCAGAAATGTTTCGAGAGCTGGATCAAGCGCTGGCATAAGTGCGTTGCAGTCGATGGGGAGTACTTTGAAGGGAACAATATCACTTTTGATGAATAAACTTGTATTTTGAATTTTCTGAATGAATTCCGGGAACTTTTTGATCAAGGTGTATTCCATCATCAAAATAATTCATAATTAAATGAATGATAATCATATTCATGCTACGTATGTACACATTTACAAAAATTACTTAGATTATATAAAATACGAAAATGATCATACCATAATGCATATAAAGATTATCATGCGAAGAATTCTGCAATCATATTTTTTAACTTCATTAAAAATGAAAATCTTAACGTTACATATGCTAGGTAGATGATATATAGATACTGAGATATATATAATCTTTTAACTGAAAATACTGTATTTGAAAGTAATAATCAGAATATATGATTCATTTAATCGTTGATTACAGTTAAAAAACATTTCTCAGATCATATTTAAAACATTAGAATTTAGATTTATTTAAATTTTTAATTAAACGGAACGATGAAAACAATAGTAATTAATAATAATTATTTTAAAAACGGAGCAAATAAATAAGTAAGGAATGTACAAATATACATATACATAATATTAGTTATATTATACATATAATAACAAGTTATAGACGAGACTGATCATCATTCATTTAAATATTTAATGATATAAAGTTTGTAAATCTTATTCTCCTAAATGCTGAATGAAGGTAGTTTATTGTTTTAAAATCTTGGCTAGCATTATTCATTTTATTATATTTTTTGTACTGCTAATAGAAGTGTTAGCTTTCAATCTATAAATCTTGTTGCGACATAGATCTCTCCACCAATATGTGATTATCAATATATAATTAAATGAGTTTTTTATCAATCAAAATATACGTATATTTACCGAGTTGTTTTATTTTTCACAGCGCTTGCATAATTTAGCATGTCGGTTATTTATTTGTTATAAAAAGATGTATTAATAAAAAAAAGTTATATGATTCTAAATTCTTTTCATTATGAACAAAGTAGCATTCAAAGAAGCTATAAATAAAATTAATTAATAATAAACGTTTAATTAGGTGACAAGTATTTCATACTTAATTTAGTATAAAATTAGAATTGAGTAATGTGTACACACTATAGATTAAAATATAGGGAGTTCCATTTCTACTATATTTTACACGTAATGATGTGCGAGATAATTTTTAGTCTAATATGTATAACACAACCGATATTAAAAATTTAATGAACATTATTTCTTTTATCTAAAACAATAAATAATGTCGATATGAGCCAACACAGGATGTTCGAGTGTAATTTAAACGCAATTTATTAAGAAAATAAAGACGTGGATTTCGACCCTCGATTCGGGTCCTCACCAGTACAATTAATCACACGACACAAATTATTCGGAAAAATGCATAAAAGACAATGCTCTAATACATGGGTTAATGATCAAACTATTAGACGTCCACTTATCGAATTTTTATCATCAAATTGTCTGATTTGATGAAATCAAAGAGTTGTGCGAACCAAGTGTAACGCTATTATTATTTCTTTTTACACATTTTTACTTTATAGAACATTTTATATAGAGCATTATATGCAAAAAATTTTGTTCATTAATAAGCCAAATAAATTTTTTACAAATAAAATGTTATGATTAGAGAAGCAAATTTTAAAAAATTTTAATATCTTATGTCTTATCGTACATACTTCTGTATGTATATTTCTAATATTTTATCATATATACTTATAATATCTTATTATATATATATTTATATAAAAATACATTCTTTAATTTCATCCTAGCATATGTTAACAAAACTAATAGGAGCTTCCCATTAGCATATTTACAATCTTATTTCATGTTATTATATATATTATATATATGCAGGATTGGCAACGTTACCTTATAAAAATAACTCGTTATCGTTACTCGTTATTGATTTGCAAAAGTAACTCGTTACCGTTACCGTTTTTCAAAACGTAACGAGTCGTTACTTTTTCGTTACTTTCTTTTCTTGACACTATTAATATATAGAATATTATAGTATTTTCATTGTGCGCACTCAGTGCACATTGAAGCCGTTGTACACAACTCTAAATGTAAAAATGAGATATCTCAATTGATGAAGTGCCTAAAATATATTTTATCAAATTGCATAATAAAATGTATTGAGGATTTCGCGGTTTAGCTCGTTTCTATATTTTTATTAATCATACATCTTTACGTCGATTGTACAGCGGCTTTAAAGTGCACTGAATGTGCACTAGTTCTGCCAATAAAAAACGCCATTATATACGTAATTAAATTCCTGCGGTAAATACAAAAAAGATGTCAGAATTCTATTTTTTAATAGAGAAATAAAACTCAAAAACTGATAAATGTATATACGCTCTAGTTACGATTAAAACTTTTATGTAAATAGAAATAGAGTAACGATAAAAGTAACTAGTGAAATCGTTACCATTACCTCAAAAATGTAACTGCGTTATCATGAACATTACTCAGAAGAAAATGTAACGTCGTTACCCAATCGTTACTGAAAAAAGTAACTTGTAACGATAACGACGTTACAAGTAACGCGTTACTTGCCAACCCTGTATATATGCTAATGAAAAACCATAGAAGTATAAACAGAGGGTGGAATTTTTTAGTTTCTCTTTTATTACATTTCTGTAGTTTATTTCAAAACGTTATAATAATTCATCGTAATTAAAATAACGCTTTTATTAAAAATAAATAATACATCAATTATCTACTGTTTCCCCTACCATTCCAACAAGCAGCGTAATATAAAGGCAACGGTCTGGAGGAACAGCTCAGTATCAGGCTGTTCCTCGCCCTGATAAAGTGGACTGCAAGGTTCACGAAATGTTGGCATTCCAAGAATGGATCTGGACCCAGAGAAAACCCATGATTTTCATGTGGCACGCCTTAAGAATATTAATATATTAATTATCTTCCTCATTTTTAACTCTTTTCTTTTTTAATATTCGATAACGTCGCCAAATCGAATGTCTTGTTCTCCGAAGAACTTTAGCCAAATCAGCATATTTACGTTTTACGTCAAGAGATGGATTATTTTCTAAATGATCTATTATCATTTGATCTTCTTCAGGTTTAAACCTAGCCATTTTAATTTAATATTTCATTATTATTGTTATAAATTATACTTGTGAAGTATAGCTAAAGTTATACTTCACAATTATATAAAAATACATATAAGATTAAGATCATGTACAATGTGCCGTGCATTAATGATATCCTTTTTGAGTGTAGACTAATGTAAAAAGCAAGCAAATTACTCAAGTTTCTAGATTATTTGATGCTGCCATTAGCCTTTGTTCGATTGGATGAGATTGTTGTGATTCTTACACTGATCTACATTAAAAAAGACAGCATTTATGTGAACAGCACTGGGATCTATTCTTGAAAAATATCGCATACTAATAGTGAGAAAAAATGTGGAAAAACAAATATATTCATTGGATGGAAGATGATGAAAGTGTGGAAGGAAAATATTGCAATAAAGGAACATATCACAGCAAATGGCATCGACAAAGAAACTTCACCAAGAACCTTTGTAATAAAATTTTTAAAAAAATTCTATAAATATCATACAGTATACATTATATGTGATATGTTTTTGTATGTGATATATATTCAAGAATATATATAAATATATTTGTATATAAATATATTTTATTATATATTACCTTCGTTGCAGGTTATTCTCATACAAATTTCTAAATCTATGGTAGACACTATATAAAGTTCTCTCTGGTAAACCTTCGGCTAAAAATTGTACAAATTTCCGTCTCTCTCTAATATTACGCATGTATGTCATGTTACCAATTCTTAATTGTAAAAACGGTTTAGTTTCATTTACATCCCAATTATGTATCTGTTTCAGAATCAACATTGTAAAAATTTCTGCATTAGATATTTTTTTATGGAAAAAATTTTTAAATTTTATTTTAAAAATATTTCTAAGAATTATATAGATACTAATCAGATAGATATATCTTGTATACTAACCTTGCAAAATGTTTTCCAATTATTAGCAATAATATTGTCCTCTTCAAAAGAATATGAGCCTTTCTTGATCGGTATTATTTTTTCAAATTCTTCTATTTCCTTTCGTGTCGGCATATGACACCCAGCTCGTGTTTCAATATTATGCTGCGGTGGTACCGTGTGCCCTAGTTGCACTTTTAAATTGTACAATTTCTGCAATGAAAAGTAGTTATATAAATATATATATATATACATTTTATTTAAAAAACTTTCGTCAAATTAAAATTTTTTCAAGATCATATTACGAATATTTCTTTTTGGCAAAGTCTCTCTGCTGATGCCATTTGCCGCGCTAGATATGTTGCTTCACTGCAATTTTCTTCTATACCTTCATCTTCAGATTCATTCTCTACCTTACGAATGTATTTGTTTTTCCAAAATTTCTTCGAATCGTGATTTTTTTTCTGTAATGTCTTCATCCTATTTCCGATATCTTCATCTGTGATAGAAAAGAATATAATATACTATTCTTATATAACATTCTTACATGATATTAATATTAAATTAATATTAATATTAAATTAATATTATTATTTTTATATAATATTCTTATACACAATATTCTTCCACTATGCCTCCATCCTTACATTTAATTGTGTTGGAATGCATGTGATGTATGTGATTATGACTTACAGGGTACAAGCGTATAAAGATAGATGAGTTAGAGAGTAGGAGACTTTAGCGTGTAACCGGATGAATCGAGAGGCGCTAAAAATTCCAATTACGATGCGCATGCTCTTCATGCTTCACTTTTTGTTTTTTCACCTTCCGCTTTCTTCTTGTGTGATTTGTCTCGTTTATAAAATAAACAGTCCTCATTACAAAAACAGTCGGTCTACTTATTGTGCGTTGGAAATAATAATCACTAAAGGCACGCTTTCAAGACAATAATATTCGTATGTACGTGACCGGACAAAACCTCCGGTTGTAACAATTATTATTTTAAATCGTTTATATTTCGTATGAAGAGTTTTGAAGTGCAAATAAAAAGATTTGTGAGTCATTCTATTAATTACAATTAATATATGAGACAATAAATGAGACAAGTCACACACAAGAAGAAAGCGGAAGGCGAAAAAGCAAAAGGTGAAACACGAAAAGCATGCGCATCGTAACCGGAATTTTCAGCGCCTGTCGATTCATCCGGTTACACGCTAAAGTCTCCTACTCTAACTCCATCTATTTTTATACGCCTGTAGGTCATAACCACATGCATCACATGCATCACATGCATTCCAACAGTGACATTTTTACGTTACTTCTAATATCTTTATCTTTGCATTTAATTTGAGCATTTTCATATTCTGATTTTTCTGTCGAATCGCTATCCTTATCTTGTGAGATTTTTTTACATCCTGGATATTGTCACCTTTATATTTAACTTCACGGACATCTTTATTCTCTAATGCTTCCATTGAATTGCTATCTTCATCCTGTGAGGCATTTTTCTCATTCTGGATACTTTTGCTCTTGTGTTTAACTTTATGGACCAAGTGTATTGCTTCAACGCAATACTTTTCTTCCACATCTTCATCTTTAGTGCCAACTTCCTGAGTGTATTTGTTCTTTTGGTTGTTCTCTTTATTCCGTAATATTTTTATCTTCTTTCCAATATCTTCATTCTCCGAAACATCCATCGAATCGCTATTTTTATCCTGTGATGTGTTTATCTTACTCCTAATATCTTTATTTTTACCTTTAACTTTATGAGCATCTTTATTTTCTGATTCTTCCATTGAATCATTATCATCTTGTGACATTTTTACTTTACTTCTAATATTCTTATCTTTGCATTTAATTCGAGCATTTTCATTCTCTGATTTTTCCGTCGAATCGCTATCTTCATCACATGAGACTTTTTTCTTATTCAGGATATTGTCACCTTTGTATTTAACTTCACTGATATCTTTATTCTCTTCCATTGAATTGCTATCTTCATCCTGTGAGGTATTTTTCTCATTCTGGATACTTTTGCTCTTGTGTTTAACTTTATGGACTAAGTGTGTTGCTTCAACGCAATACTCTTCTTCCATATCTTTATCTCTAGAGCCAGCTTCATCAGCATATTTGTTTTTCTGGTTGTCGTTCTTATTCTGTGATATTTTTATCCTTTTTCCTTTATCCTGTGATGTGTTTATCTTACTTCTAATATCTTTATTTTTACCTTTAACTTTATGGACATGTTCATTTTCTGAGTCTTCTGTTGAATCACTACCATTTTGTGATATTTTTATTCTACTCCACATATCTTTATCTTTGTATTTAATTTGATGGACATTTTTATTGTCCAATTCTTTCTCTGAATCACTATCTGAATTTTGTGACATTTTTATCTTCTTCCTGATATGTTTATTTCTATATTTATTTCTATATTTAACTTTATGGGTATCTTTATTTTCTGATTTTTCTATTGAATCACTATTTTCATCTTGCGACATTTTCTTTCTCTTCTCAATATATTTATCCCTATATATAATTTTATAAGCATTTTTATTCTCTGATTCTTTTGTTAAATCACTATCTTCACTTTGTGACATTCTTGTCCTTTTCCTAATATCTTTAGTTCTATGTTTAATTTTATGGATATCTTTATTTTTCATTTTTTTCTTCAAATCATTATTTTCATCTTGTGATGTTTCCATCTTAATTTTGATATTTTTGTCAGGAGATTCTTTTTCATTGCGGACATCATTATCCTCATATTCCATCCTGATATTACAAGTAATGCTGTCTACTAAAACATAATCCAATTTTATTAACAACTTCAAAGACTATATTATAGATATAAATAAATATCAACTTTGTATAACTTTCTATATAAAGTAATATGCTTTACAAACTTATTTTCTAAGACCAACTAATAATCATGTACATATATAAAGTTTTGTATTATTCAATAAGGTTAAAAAAAATAAGCATTATAAAAACAGTTAAAACCCAAAAATTCAAACCCTATTTGAATCTATTAAATTGTTTTATACCAAATCATAACATTAAGAACAAAGTAACTCGATTCCTGAGCAATTAGATATCATAAATTTTACAGGATACTCAGGTCATTTCATAGATTTTCATAAATGATTTCATAATTGTTAAATAATAGACACATTTGATGATATTACCTGTCTCATATATTCTTCGTAGACAATAAAATATATACCTTGTAATTTTCGAAAAAAATATGCAATAAATACCCTTTTAATAATATGTAATAAATAGCTTTTAAAATTATTTTTCTGATGAATTCTATAGGTTAAAATACGTTAAAACTGTATGACGATCGTCAATTCCACCATTTGCACTATGCTACACTTGTCTATTTGTATGGAGTAAAGGCTACTGTGTATGAAATTATTTAATGACAAAAACCTAAGATAAAGTCTCGAATGGTAGAAGGTCAAATATTGACATTGTCACACTTCTAGCGGAATTGTTATTGAATATTTTATCGAAAATACTTTATTATACAATTTACACTTTAGATTATATTTTCATACGTGTAACGGTTTTTAAACGTTTGACAGAAAAGATATGTTCGAGTCGCATGCTCCAAAATGCGGGGTCTACAATAGAAGTCGTAGCAATCGTAGGGTCTTAAGTCGTAGAAAATTGACCAATCACAGTCGAATATGAGAAGAATAATCAACTGTGATTGGTCAATTTTCTACGACTTAAGACCTTACGACCTCTACGACTTCTATTGTAGACCCCGCATAAAAAACAGTGAAGCTGATTCTACATTAATCGCATCGCAGCGTTGTGGTCCAATCAACATCAAGCTGGCTTGACTCTGATTGGATCATAACGCTTGCGACACGCTTGCGACATTGCGATGCGACTAATGTAGAATCAGCTTAAAGCCCGAGACACAATGCGAGGGAATAACGATAGCGATAGGAATAACACGATTTCAACCTATCAGAAACTGCGTATTCCGATATATCCGATTTCTGATAGGTTGAAATCATGTTATTCCTATCGCTATCGCTATTCCCTCGTATTGTGTCTTGGGCAATCGACCAATCACAATCAAAATTACGATCTCGCGTTTAAAAACGCTCGACTGTGATTGGCCGATTTGCTTACGGTCTTACGATTACGACTAAAATTTTTGTACGTGTGATGGCCTTTACTATTATTTCTATTTCCGTTAGATTACGTAGACCTAAAGCATCCTGATTGGCTCATCGGCTTAAGTTTACATCTTACGGTCACTGTTACGGAATTTTGTATGCTGTAGCCCTAACTATTCACTCCAATGAGCGCGTGAAGTAATGGTAGGAGCATGTTGGAGCATACGATGCGAACAAACCTCTAAAAAAACAAACCTTTGTTTCACTTGCTTATTGCACTGTGTACATACGTGCACTAGTTTAGAGAGAGTAAGAATAAAAAATAGACTTTTGTAACCAAACTTTTTTCCTTTTCCTTTCTCTTTTCAATGTTTAAAAACGTAGTGCAATTGCAAAGAACAGTCAGCAATAAAGATTCTAATCTCTAAGTCAACAACAGTCAGTTGCATGTCAAATTTGTTGCAAGCATTTGTAATCATTTATAACGCTGTGACCTGTGTGTGTAAAGATCGATACATTCTTTTAGATGCAACACATCAAAACATCAAATGCATAAAAGCGTACATATATAAAAAAAGATATCTTTAAGGTAAGATTAGATAAGATGCAAATTACAAGGAACATCGCTTTCAATTGTAATGTTTTCAGATAATGAAATAATCTCTCTCATATAAAAATACCAATCAACAAAACACGGTCTATCCTGGATAATATTAAGAGCAAGGTTTATCCGACAATTAATGAAAAATACAATATGGCTTCAGCATCCAGTACAAGCGCACGTAGCTTGTTCATTGAGTCGAAGATGAGATTGGCAGATAGAGTGCAAGTTAATGTCAACAATATTGCTTCGCTTGCCAGGCAGATACAACGAGGTTCCAGAAGCAGCGAAGTAATATCTTATTTTTCTCATTGGCTTCTAGGAAAATTGGTTGATATTATAGTGATTCTGTCACTAAATATATTCTGTTGCCCTCATAGATTTTAATGCATGCAGCAAGGAATTTTGCACAGCAGGAGCATGGATTGGAAACGATAGAATCCAATTTAAAGAAGCTTGCACTCATTGCTAATCATTTGGAATATCAAATGGATGCGATTGATAAAAGTTCAGCGATGTTAGAAGAAGTCACTGAGCAAGTACGATCTATGCAACGATAATGTAGGATTGATATACATATATATATTTATGTTGTACATAAGAGTTTTATACAATCCCAGATAGTGTTTGTCTTGTTGCTGGCATGTTGTTTGCTAAGTATGCATTGCTAAGCATGTGTTATTACCAGAATTGCAGCAACTGAGTCCTCATTTGTTGGTAACTCGATGCCTTCACGATATGATAACTTTGAGTAGCAACTTGCTAGCAATTTTCTTTGTTGACGACTTTAAAATCGTCATCAAAATTCGTACTACTGTCATCATGTTACCATAATGATATACAGCATCATATAATGCTATCATATTGCCGATGATACATTGATACAGCTATTTTGTGCTATTAAACTACTGGCAATATGCATACACATTGTTGCCTGCATGTTGCTATAATATCGGTATATTTGAAATCGTTGAAGATAAATCTATGGCAAGTTGTCAGCATCATAAGCAATCATAGATATGTGCGATTTTGCTGAGACATACTTTGCTATCTGGGATGAACATCTGCAGGATATATGTATTTATATAAACAATATTTGTACAAATGTTATATTGCAGGATTGATTATTAATTTTAAGAACATGCGTTTTTCTAAATTTGTGATATAATTTGAAAATTATTTATGTAACATTGTTTTTCTCTTCTTTTTCTTTTTGTTATGAATCTTGCTATACCATTGCCTGTATTCAGACTTTATACTTAAGACTTCCTTAAATTTATTTTTAGATGCTCAGTAGCCAATGAAATAATTCATAGAGTATCTGAAGATGAATTTAAGGAAGCCTTAAATATAAGGCCTGACTATAATATGGGAATAAGTATATGAAGACTAGAAAATGTCTAATTTCTGTGATTTGTAGATTAAGAAAGAATATGTATATATATTATTCGAAATATTAATTTATATGTATAAATAAAAGTACGACTTATTTCTGTATGGAAGGAATATAAAGTTGAAATATTTTCTTTAAGATTACTTCAATATGTATTTTTAGATGCTTGAATTTGTACATTATTTATGTAAATATTTAAATAGGGAAATAATTATATAAGTACTTAAATAAGGAAACAAGAATGGAAAAGAGTACAGGAATTAAATAACACAATACATCAGTTTCTTTGATATTTATTCCAGACAATTAGCCTTAAAATTAAAAATAATTTTTATAAACATTATGATATATCGACAAACTCATATGTAAACGCACTTAAGGGTTTCTAAAATGTGTACACAAAATCTGCTTCTTGTTTTTAAATCGAAGATAATACATTGTATTATAATTAAAACATTTTTGAAAATAGAGTTTAAAGTTTAGATCTGGCCGTTTTAGAAATCATTTCATACCATATTAAAAAAATCGACGTAACGTCAGATTCATCAAGGATAAAGAATATCATAATGACCAGGACGATATAATAAGTGCACAGCTGGTATAGCACCTTCAGGGAAATCATGGGCAGTCACTTCAGTTCCTGCACCTCTGTCCATGTAACGAACTCTAACACCAGTTCCTAGGGCACTACTCATTGCTATAATGTGAATATGGTCAGATTCCTTATACATTGGTTCGACCTCCTAGCAAAAAAAGAAATATAATAAATATATTAGAATAAATATAATAAAATATACTAGAATAAATATTAATATAAAAAGATCGATGAAATGTTAACATCAGAACGAAAAATGTAACATACAAACCTGATGGCAGAATTCTGAAATAGTACGTTCCCCCTCAATAAAATGTTGGTAAAAATCAGCATCACGCTGTAACTGACCAGATGTAATTAATCTAAGATACACAACAACATAATCGGAATAACCTTGTTCATTGAACAATTTATGTAATTCCATATGACTGGATTCTGTGTCACCACCTACTTTGTCAATGACTTCCATAAACTGTAATAAAAATTCATGAAAATCAACTCATGTTCCTCACAATAAATTCTATGTTATGCCGTCATACTAGCTAATGCAAACATCATATACACATACATTTATATATACTGTGCAGGCTATGAAATCTTGTATATTATATAATAATATATATATTTTTAAAAATATAATTCTCATAATTTGTGTCATGTTTATAAGCTAATATGTATAAATAAAATAATTTAAAGATAGAAAAGTAGAGTCTCACCGTATCATGAAAGTCTTCAACTGTAAATTGAGGAAAACCTAGAGCTACAAGGCTATCCTTGCTTTTTAAAGCTAGATCACGAAACTTATCGTACTCGTCTTTGTTCCCAATTAATTTCTCCAAATAAGCATAGCTAAATGCTCTAAAGAAACAATTGCCATCTGGTCTAGTTCTCCTAATGTAAGAATATTTTTGAGCCAAGGCTTTTGCCTTTGAAAGATATACATCGTCTTCTGCATATTCTTGTTCTAAGCTTTTTAGTGGTTCCTTTTCACCAACTAATGCTATAGATTCCGAAATCTGAAATGTAGAAGATAAATATTAAAAAATGGAAATCTTAGTATTAAAAATAGAAGATAAATATTAAAAAATGGAAATTTTAGTATTCATTCAAAAGAAAACATTCTATAATTTGTCAAGTTAGTATTTACGAAGTTATATTATTAAAAACAGTAAAAAATAATTGCTTGAATCTAGTTATGTTTTATCGAGTAATAAATTGTAACTAATAAAATATAAATAATCTTTATTTCACATTGAGACTCTCACAAATAAAAAAAATACTATAAGAGGCTAATTTGAATATATAAAAAATATTACTTCCAATCACATGAATTAAATAGAACTAATACGTCTTCAAAGATATATTTTAAACATAATACAAAGAGCATATTAACCTCTTTCTCGATACGTCTCTGTTGTTGAAGTATCAACTCGTCCTGGTTAACATCTGTAATAAAGATTATGATAATAAATTACCCGGCATGATTTCTCAATGATAAATTACGTTAGGAAACCTGTGTTTTCTACGGGTTGCTCCTTAAGCGAGTTATTTTCCATATCTCAGAGGACTGCTAAATTTCACAACGACTGTCAAATTATCAATCGTAAACAAAAGCCCGATGTTTCCATGTGAAGTTGAAAAGGTGTTTGCCAATGTTTGCTGCTGTGCTTCACGTTCTTGTGTTGGCAGCATTATCGAACAGATTCAATCTAGGTAGTTTACGTGACGAGTTAATACAGATGGTAATGGCACAATCGACCGGCTGCACAATCGACCGGCTGCACAATCGACTCACCGCGGTATTCTTTGAATTCATCTCAAATTCACGTATATAATTTATAATTCACAATTCAGATTCACATATACGATTACTCGGATTACTGTCGATGAAGTGATATTGGAAAATGGTAATTTGAAAAATAAAAAAGGTCACTTTTGTAATTAAACACCTTAATTCAAATAAAATTTTTATCACATTGTTACTAATTGAATATTTAGAGCTTTTTGATTAATTTACTGTTGAATTTTCTAGTATAGAAACATTTTCTACATAGGATAATCTTTACAAAATGTTACTTAACTTATTCATTATATTTTTATATACTAAAAATATAATATAATTTTATATATTAATAATAATTTTAATTATAAGTAAGCAGTCAATAAATTTTACGTTTAAAAATAATACTTCTAAATCATAAAATTTTTTTGTCATCTCTGTCAAATAATATTTGTTATTATATTTTAATTAATCAATAAAATATATTGGATTTGTATTTTGTATTCCTAAGTTTTATGCATATAGCCGTAAAATTATAACTTAGTTATCAACAATCGGTTATGTTTTACATTACCATTTGTGATTGAGAAAAATTTAATTATTATATATTTATTAGCATTTTGAATTTTTATTTTTTAAATATATTGATTATAAAATAACATTTAATATTAACAAATATTTTTTTAATATATAAAAATCTAACGTTTCATTTGTAGGTAAATTCCATATGTACATTCCATACATTGTACTTTTGTGACCTTGTCTTTACTGACCTCTAGTAAGACTAAGCCATAGTAATTATTATAGCAATAGCAGTTTATTCAAACGTACGATTTATTAATTTAATGTTAAATAATAAAGAATTATTTATATTATATTGTCTCTTCTCTGTTAAAGAATTTATTTAAGAAATAATTTAATGAAACAAATTAATCTTACGATTAAATTTTTTTTGTTCAGATATAGGTAGATAATATGATAATTATATTTTATTTAAAATATTTTGATGCAACTTTTTAATAACATAGCGATGCTTAGGAGATAAAGATAAGCATTTTTTTTATGTATATTCTTTTAAATTTTATTTAATATACTTTTATATTAATATTTTATTATTTTATAAATTTTCATATTTTTCTAAAATTTATAAAATAAAAATTTGATTACTTCTTGTCGTAAACTTAAAACAATTAAGTAACAACAGTATTTAATAATATATACATTGTCGGTATATTAAACATATATACTTGCGCAAATGCTGGGATACAATAGAATTTACACACATACGTTTCCAATTAATAATTCCGTTTATTTTAGCTTAGCAAGGTTGCATTCTGTGTCTATATGATTACGCATGTATATATATATGTATAATGCGTGAGTGTACAGATATACGTACATGTATCAACGTACACATAAGTGTTATACATATAGCCGCAAAAATTCTTAAAAATTACCGTTTGATATCATTACAATTAAGATGTGCTTCGTAAATACAATAAAAAGTAACCATATAGTAGTGATATAAAAATATTACCATAATAATAAAATATTAATAAACGGGCAATGAGAGCATTCACAGTGCAGTACTTGTTTTTACAAAATAACGGACGTTTTATTTGAACTTTGTAACACGTAATGTAAAAAGTATTGAGAATATATTATATGTATTGCGCTCCAAGTATTGCGCTGTGAATGCTCTCATTGCCTATTTATTAATATTTTATTATTATTGTTTGTTTTTCGAGAGTCCTATCAAATATATATTGTTTGTTATAAAAATATTAGGCTTTGAAACCTATTAAACAATATTATTAATTTTTAATGATTATTAATCGTATTTCTGTTAAATGCTTGATTTTTATCGTGATTTCATACAACTTTATTGTGTTTTATTGTTAATGTTTTATATGTTATGGTTTATTTCATTTTTTAAATCATATTTTTTGTATCGATCGTTTTATATACAATATTATTATATATAATATATGTGTCTGTGTAAAATAATTTTATTCCGCGTTCCGATTTTCTGTGTTTTGAATTAAGTTAAATTTGTGTTCTATCCTTGAATATTTAATTGAGATTTGATCAATTTGTGACCGCGATTTGTCCGTTTCAAATCTGATCACACGAGGACTCGAGTTCACTTTCCTTCAACTAAATTCTCTCGTTGTTTCTTCGAACAACTACGAGATAATGTAAGTTGCGAATAATTAGGATTCCTACCACGGAAGCGTGACGCAGTAGGTAATTAGCTGTAGGTATATTCGCCCAGGAGAGCATTGGTACTAATCTGT